AAGGCAAYGGCCTGTCTATCAGCAATAATCATACCGGGTTTGGCTGCAGGATCTGATTATTATTTCAGAAGAGTATGTCTAGCTAAGCAGGTAAAGAGAATGCACTGAAAGTTTCAGAAGACACAAAGAAATATTTTTTAAAAAGGCACACAGACCCCATGTTATAAGTAGGTAAACAAAACATTTTGTCAATTGCTCTCAGCATCCTTCTAGTTAGACTAGGGTACCTATTTGTATCTGTTATGAACAAGCACACATTTAAATGTCCCCATTTGAAAACTGTAACTCCGTAAGACAGGTCAGTGCCGTTGACTCCCTGCTATGATGGCTAGATACACTGAAGGTTAGTAAGGCTTAAGGCTCTAACCTATTGGCTCTAACCCCAAATGTTTCCTGGTTCTGACTGGCTTAACTTAGAGCTGTATGTCATATAAAATTTCCAGAGGATGGTCTTGCCCTTCACTGGCTTGTTGACAAAAACATATAGTTATCAAATTGACTATTGGCACTTTTTTGGGAATTCCCTGAAAAACAGGCCCACATTTATTTATTGTTCAAGGCAGAGAGCACTGACTCTGAAATATTTATATGAAGAGAAGGCATCTCCTGAACATGACAAAGATTTSCAATGTGAGAAAATCCCTGTCTCTGAATAGATCTGTCTGTCACCCAGACCCCTGTTACTTCAAAGTATGAAGGCAACACTGAAATGAGTATCATTTGTTCTAAGTTTAATGAGGAGAGGATTCCTTCATATACCCCCGACATCTGATGTAGCAAGTGCAAGGTCATTGCAAGGCTGTGCTTTCAGTGCAGAATGTAGATAAAGTACAAACTGTTTTGGGACAAACGATAAATGCTGAGATGTTTTTACTGATCTTGAAAGATGACTTACAGGCTGATTTAATTGACCTGTTGCTATCCACAATCTCTCCTCTGGGAAGTAAAAAGATCCTGATAATATGATGTATAACAGTAAAACCATAACAAAATGTTTTAAATGGATGTTGTTTTTGTAAGTATGAGAATAGTTGATCATATAGTTTTAGACCTGTGTGAACTACGCCTCAGTGCTTTACCTTCTGAAGCAGGCTGTGGTGATGGCTGCTTTTTCTGGGAGGAGGCAGAGCGAAACAGCAAGTCAACAGAAAATTCCTGCTTGGTTCATAACAAAGGCTCAAGGGAACACTCTGTAATGTAATCCAGAGTTCCTATGAGGAATCTAATGTCTTCTCTCTRCTACATGGATCCCTATGTAAAAATAGACATCTTGCAGGCTGGCAGTTCAAAATCCCTGAGGATTAGTGATTGGTTAGGAGATTATGGATACTACTCCAATCTGAATTTGAAATAGCAGATGAAATTGCTGAGGCACTGATAATTGACACTGAACTGCTAGTCCTCTCACCCTTCCTGTAGAGACAGAAGGCTCTGTCACTAATATGTAATGGTACATTTGCTTCTGCAGTCAGTCATAGAAGACACCCTGTTTCTGGTGCTTATTGTTTCTAATAAGCTGGACAGCTTGTTAGAGAGTTAGAGAGAGAAAAGCCACAAGGCCAACAAGTCACTCAGCACTATGTRTGACACRACATTGAAATACAAAGACAATCACTAGTATTGGAGCTATAAATACATAAGGCATTTAACACAAAACCAGCCCCTATCAAGGTCTCTGCAGAGCATAGGCAAGTAATAAAATTAGTCTTTTTGGGACCTGAACTTTAAAATACATGAACCAAAGACATGTCTTCATCAGCAATATGCTGATGAATTTTTTATCCCTTCTACATGCGCGGGCAGCAACCTTTATGGAGAATCACTTCACTTGCCTSCATCAGACCTCACTGCCAATACAAGTGCACCCTGCCAATGGCTATGTCCCAGAAGACCAGAATCCCAGCTTTTATAACACTGAACTAAAGACACTGTCTTAAATCTTAACTACAGCTTTGCTTGTGGAATTTAGAAATAAAATGATCTCTGTTTAAGGGAAGTCTTCTCCCCTCCCTTCCCTGCTGTATGTTTCCTCTTAGGAAGAGGAAATGTTCAGAATACCTGTTCAGAAACTATGGGATAGGTTGCTCTCTGAAGAACCACACTAGGGAATTTCTTAAACACCAGTAACCTACGACTTCTTTATCCATATACAAAGAGGTATATCTAGTATGTTAAACTGTATTTTGCTAATGATCATAAGGGGACTTAATTTATTGTATGAAATCAATTACATTATTACAACTAAAATTAAATAAGTCACACAGTATGTGCAYTGCATTATTTCCATCTCTGTGGTATGATGGAAATAAAGAAATTGTAAATGTTTGTATTCATGTAGCTATTTAATGCCCTGAAGTCAATGCCCTTCAAGTATCTGCTGATACCATTTAATGGACCTTTTTGTTCAAATAATTTGTCCTTGAACTCATGGGGCACATGCACACCAGCAATGAAACATATCTACACAACCACTCAAAGAAGTATCCAAGGGCATCCCAGAAAAGTTATTCATGTTCTTTATAAAAAGTGGTCAATTAAAGTAACTCTCTGTGCTTTGGCCAACTTAAATGGAAAACTGGGCTATACAAATTAACACACAAAAAAACTGCATTAATAAAGCAACTATCTCTTCATGCTGTGGCTGTACCTCACATTACTAAGTCTGGACAGCCCAAAACTGCATAGAAATGTAATTTCTAGTTCTCCAAATATAATATTTTTCTTAATTCTAACATTTTCCTATTTATTTCTCAAAACAGGCCAAAAACATTTACACTCCTAAATATTAACACTTTCCAACCTATATCTTTCTGATGCATAGTTTGTACTACTTTGTTCAGTCCAACTGTGGTTATGTTAAGTAAGGGGATTACTTACATTTTTAAATCTACCAAAATAGAATAACTCAGAATAACTGCACACCATGTCCTTACAATTCTACCTTCAATCATATATTCTTCTGCCAACTTAAATAACTATTATATCATTCCAGTTTCCTTGTATGTGGCTGTTTATCTCACTTAAATAGATTGTATATATTTTTTCTTCTTAACCACCCTTTAATTATTCTAGTTTTGGATGTCCTTATTTGATCTGTAAGTAATATTTTCAAAATTATTAAATTATAATTTCCTTAACACCTTTCATAATGGGGGTTAGATCCATCTACATATTATTAACTATGTATTTTCTGAATACCATMGTATCCAAAATAGATACAGTCATCTTGCTGAAGACTGATTTCTGTAGTAGTTGTGCTGGGCCACTGGAAATATGCAGGAAAACTAAATTTCTCATCATAATAAATYCACTCTGATTAAATAAATCCTTTCCTTAGTCAGCAATTTTTAAACTGTTTAATAAAATATTAAATGGAAAAGCTTAAAAATACTGTTTTCATTTGCAGCTTCAAACTGTAAAAGTGAATGTTCCATTACAAAAATTATTAAAATAATATACCTGTTCAGAAATAAGTTCTCACAAGTAAAATAAAACAACCATAGGTTTCCATTGTAATTAAAAGGAGCTTTAGTAATTTTTTTTTCTCAATTTGTTGAATTGATTAAGATATCTTGCAATTTAAAACCATTGTTGTCTTCATGAAACACCTTGGATCATAAATTACTTAMAAGAGATGTCAAGTCACACAACTTTCAGAGGCCTTTTTAACGCAGTATTCACTTCTGTCCAGGAATTGTATTTTCCTATCCTTGTAAAAAATGTAAGTGAAGCATTCTAAAGTTATTTGCTAGACATGTTTCTCTAAAAAGTTCTCTGACCTGCACTGTTTTTCTTCTATACAAACGGTATTAATATAAAGATGCAGTGTTATGTGAGTCATATTCTTGAATAATTCTATTCAAGTTGACAATTCTTCTTCAGATTGGCTTGTATAACAAAGATTTTAAGACTTTGGTGGTCTCTTTCTAAGTTAATTCTTGAACAGCATAACCAGATGCCTCCTACTTTAAAAAGAAATAACAAAAAAACCCCAACCAATAAACCATAAACCAAAACCAGGTAAATCGAAATGGTTCATGGGYAGTATTAAACAAAGGAGTCATATTGGAACCCCTTGGCTACTCGTCAAGATAACAAGATATAAGGAGCCACAAAAGTGAAGGGGTGCTGCTTTTCTTATTTCCTCTCTGAGATGTTAACAGAGTGAAAGCTTGATTTCTGTACAATAGTCACATTTTTAATACAGCTGCTTCTAATAACTGAAACTTTTTTAACAGAACTGGAGGGAAGAGGGTAGAATAAAATGTCCACTTGTGAATATTCACAGCCTTTCCTGTTGCATACCCAATACAAGATAAACCACTGGCAGATGGTTTTAATTTGAAGACTTTAATTACTGTTTGATATGAACACATAAGTCCTCAAGCATCTAACAGATTACAACAGTAATAATTATTAATAGTTTTCTCATCATCCTTCAAGTTGAATTTCTAAGAGAGAACAGACATGCTAGCCAGTATTCTGAATATATTGAATTCTGTCAGTATTCTGAATAGTCAAATGATCTTCATTCCTTCAATATTCTTGCACTTACATTACATATTTTACCCTCTAACAAAAGCATATACATGGATTATTTCCATTTTAATCAAGGCCATGAATGTTGGTAACATGAACCATACATTTTCTATAATATTGTTTTTGAGTACAGGAAAATAAAATAACTTGAGGTTTGGAGCAGAAATACAAGTGATACTTTCTAATATCACTAACTAATTTCACTTTAGGGTTTCATTATCAAAGCACAGATACTAGGTTTCATTTTTATTACTAACAGACTTTATTTATCACTGTAAAAATAGCCTGTTAACCACAGAAAGTAAAATTCACCATCAAAGTTCTGGTTTTGTTTAGAGATCAGACTTTTTCAGATATTCTGCCAAATAGTAAAACCTAGTTATCTATATGTGACTTAAAAGAAACTACATGTGTTTTGAATTCAGAATATTTCCCTGTAATACCTACACAGTTATACATACCTGAAGAGCATATGCTAGAGAGAATTAGAAGACAAGGAAAAAGGGCATTGACAATGCTGAAATCAGCTTCCTGACCATAGAACCAAGCAGTGCAAGAAGAATAATAGTTCTGCTTGCATGAACAGATAACATGCCTTATCCTTATTGACAACCTTGACAATCTGTAAATAGAAATTCTATATAAATAAACTTTAAAATTAAAAAATARAAATTAAAATATAGAAGGCATACAAAATTCAAGAATACATATATCAGGAAAAAAAGATACTTGCATTTGTGGTGATTTACAATGGGTTCAGACTATACAATTTCATCTTCACATTCCAAATTCATTTTTCAAGTTACAACTTAATATTCTTGATTATTCATTGTGTGGAGGGAACAATTATGAGAGAAAATAGATGTAAGAGCATTATGATAACAGAAACATTTTGTTTAATCTGTTCTAAAGTGCCAGTGAGGACGATGCTGCAGCATTGCCAGATAATTTGGTTTCAGTCTTTAACTGTYCTTGTATTTAAAAGGATTTTCCAAACATGTAGCCTGTTCATTTTGACTGTAAATTAAGATWATTTTTTCTTGTCTTTCCACAATTGGGTACAAAAGACTATTGGTCACCATCTTCTTCAAATAATCTTCAGATGTCCTATTATTCTCCCCATAGAGTCTTCTCTTCTCTAGACTTAACAAATACAACTTTTTTGAAACATGCCTATCAATCTTACTTTCCAAAAATCTTTTCATTCATGTGTTCTCCTATGGATTCCCCTTCACCTGAAAACTGAAATAATTTTCCTTTTTTATAATTTATATTTATTTCAACACAGAGATTAAATAATTTTATTCACTGATTATTCTGGCCATTTTGTATGTGTGTTGTTTGATTTTGCTTCATCTGTAAAACTAGGTAGTATCAATGTTACTTGAAATTTTATGGTACTGTCGAGAAATAGGCCTCACAGACCCATGAAAACATATTTCTACATCTCTTCAGTAACTTTTTTTTTAATCAGTAATAATTTTCTTCGAATATAGAGTAATTCACTTTTTCTTATTTTTTCCTTTACTTCAAAGAACTGGATAAACCAGGGATTTTGTATATCTTCTTAGCTTTACAGGTAACAGCTAAAACATGAATTATAATATTCTTAATAAATAAGCAGATGAATGAATGGATGGACAGACAGGCATAAATCTAGTTTTCTTTGAGAATCAAGCATAATAGAAGGGAGATTTGACTCAAAGCCTGTATCTCTATTGTCCAAAAATAGGTAATGTCTGCTGAAACAGAGTTAGAAGGATGTTGCTAGCCAAAGTATACTAGGAATGGCTTTTTGRTGATCACACAATTACTAGTTTATGGTAAAAATATATCACATTTTGCATTAGTTTCAATGAGTTTTGSCTGAATGAAGAAGAAATACTGTGAACCACGAAAAGTAAAACGAAGTATGTAAGATAATACCAGATCAATTTTGTAGCAACTATATGTATTCACATTTATTCCCAAATGCCTGTCTTTAGAGAGTTCAGTCTCTTTACCTTTTTTTTTAACCACAGATAGTTTATTCCAGGAATCTTCATATTATTTCCTTGGAAAGAAGATGGCCAAGGGGGAGGACGGGGAGAAAGAAGTGATAAGCTGCAGAGCAGTTTATGACATTTAGCCCAGATTTTCCACTTCTTTGCTCTACTTCATTTGCACAGTTGTGAACTTTACCATTAGCACATATGAAAGCTCTTCTCAAAAGTGGTTTCTACAGTTTGGTTGTACTTTTTATTATTTATATAGTGTATTCATAGGGTATTTTCAAAATGAATTTCTGAAATGTAGTAGCTGCTCTTTGTTAATCTATCCATATGCAAAACATCCATGAGACCTAGCTGTGCTCTCAATAGGCTAAATGAGTAAATTGGCTGAAGGACTCCCTCCAGCACTACACTCCTGCTTGGAGCCACCCAATCTCAACCTCCAGAGAAGCCTCTACCCTTCAGCCAGACTTCTGAATGCAGTTATCTCCTCCTTCCCATAGTTCAATCTAGTTTCCAGTGGGTCTCAATTCCTCAGGAAATATAGACAGGCAATCCCTCAACAAGTGATTATTTAAGGAGCGATGAGCACAGAATGTAATCACAGTGAAGAGAGAAGCAGTTCTGTGAAGACTTCTCTAGCAGACCTGTACTACTTGCCACAAGATTTTTCAGAATTTCTTTTCACAAAAGCCTTGAAGCAACTCTTTTCCTCAAAACAGGAACTACCAGTTCTGGCAGTTCAGACATTAGGTTCAGCATATACAATGTACTCCAGAGAGAAGTGGATAACTTCGAGTATTTTGTCTGGCTGTTTCATGTACTTTTCTAAAGTTTTACTCAAGGGCATCACAGTACTGTAATTTTATATAATTCACCTGCATTTCCAAAATATTAGGCCATTATAAGAAAGCAAGCTTCTTTCATTCAGCTAGGTATGTAATATATGTGACAGATATGCTTTATGTTACTCTCCATGTGCATCTAATTCCAGTTTCTTATATTTTTTATTGATATTTGCTTTCCTCTTTTAATGTAGTTTCTATTATTGGCAAAAACATAACCCTACTGATGTAAAGCAAGCCAAATGTACAGAATCACACATTCATACTATAAAAGGGATTTTTCCTAATGCGTTCCCTACTGTGTTGCACATCTGGTCCATGGCAATACGGTAAAGCYGGAATAACTGGTTTGTTCCTCCAGAAAAGCTGCCTGCATTTCTGCAGAACTGCTTCTCCAAATACTAAATCTACAGGCAAATTTATACTGAATAGTTGTTACGATGGTGTATTTTCTTATCAGTTCCATTAAGAATAATTTCCTATTAAGAACAGTTTCCAAATCCATGTTCCCAATCTTACTTTTCTAACTCTGGCTATTTTCCTTGGATCTATATCACCCTAAAATTTTGACCAATTTCTTTCATTTATGTCTTTTATGTCCTCAGCATTCACCAGRGTAGTGACCACTTTCAGAATCTGTGTTTGTTTTTGAGTAGTTTTTTTTTTCTTTACCTCTAAGTGACTTAAAAGATAATGCTCAACTGAATGCTAATGGATCATGTTCCAGCATTGTCTGATGTGCACATCTTCCTTTCTTTTTTTCTGTCATCTGACTTAAGCAGTAAATCCCAGATCACAAAGTAGTCTATGAAAGTAATTTTATTTTCCCTTTTTGTGCAGTTTTTCCTGCACATAGTTTTCTGCAGTCTGTAAAATTAGAAATTATCATGACAATAACTGGTGACCTCACARGTCAAAATGTAACCTGGAACCTAATAGTTATTATACCACATACTGAACACCTGTCTAAATAATACAGAGATTGTGCTTCCAAGAACTTATTGCATATCCTTTTTTATCTTTTGAAAACTGAGTAAATATTCAGTAGAGCCCTTATCCCAACATGTGCRTGATGAAGTGACTTTTATATTGAAGCATGCCCACTTCAGCATCAGGTCCTTCTCAAAAGTCGCAAAGTAAAACACCATAAGCAAATGCATTGTATTTCAGGCTTTTGTCCTACAAGGAGGTCCACATAGATGGGATCCAAGCTGCATTTTAATAATGAACTAAATCTAATTACCCAAATGGTCCTATACTGACTTCTTCATTGTAACCTTGCTTATCTTGAAAAGAATATTCAGTCATCTAACTGGTTTTCCAGTTTCCGTTTTCAAATACTTCCACATATGATAAGTACTGCTTTCCCTTTTATTGTCCTCTTTCTTAAYTTGCCAATTTTTAAGATTTTCTATGGTTCCTTCCATTTCAATTGTCACATATTCTATCCAAATATAATACATTAATTGACATTTCTGGTCAAGAAATATTAGTCTGTAAGATTACCGGTTTTCATGCCATTGCATTTTTTATTTAGAGCAAGCTAGTACAGTTGTAATTACTGCCAAGTGGATGTAGTTCCTAAGGTTACATCTGTGTTACTGAGCTAAAGAGGGCTCAGGCACATACTTGAGCTCTACCATGTGATAATCACGCCATTTATCTGTTAGCCTGCTCTTTGGTATGCTTTTGGCCCAAGCCAACAAGCTCTCAGGTAAAATACTGCAGCCTTTGAGGAACAGCATGGGTTAGGGACCCTGTAACAGGCATTTAAAATGAGGCTACCCTTGCTCAGGAGAGCAGATGGGTTAGCCAGGCAAATGCGACCCGTAATTTGCTACCGGCTCTTGACTGGGTTGTGGTGCATTTCGTTTTCTAGTGCAGATGTGGCTAAGAAATGCAGTCAAAAACTGGTAGAGAGGTACCTTCACATGATGCCATTCCCAAACCTGCAGAGGATGTGAGCACTTGGTATGGGGGAAGGACAGAGCAGTGTTAGGCTGCCTGTGACTTCCCCAGGGCAGGCAAATTCTCAGCCTGTGAGTAGGAATGGATCTTGGCCACCTTGTTCTACATCCAGTGAGCTGAAGAGGGGCAACAGAATCTGGACCCCTTCATATATTCAGATACTTTTCTATATTTTCAATTACCATTTTTTAGTTGTTTCTTCAATTATCTTTTCAAATAAATGATCCAATTTGTAGACAGTGGTCTTAGATTTTCTTTCATTTGATATTATTCTATCGGGAAAAAGAGAAAAAAAAATTAACTGCTTAAGAAACTTGAAAAAAGTCTGCTTTCTTGTGGTTTTTTAAGTTTCACATACTTTCAGAATATATTAGCAAAATTATACTAATTAAGTGATTAATTAGGCTTTCTTAGATAGCATCACGTGGTCTGAGCTCTCTTTCTGTTCTGTCTTTGCATGATGGCAAGCTTGAAGTTCCCCTTTATAGTTCTGTTTCCTTTTCTCCAGCTTCATACTTCACTAATAACTTTTTTACAGTGGAATATTTCTTTTATTCTATTGCAACGTTACTCTGAATTAGCTTTTTGCTGTTACTCTTCAAACTCATTACCTTTCTGTCAATGATTTTCACAATATGTTACACTTTTTCTGGTCTTTTTATYAAACCGGTAGTATTGTGCAGTCATAAGGTCTTAATTTTAGATCTAGTATCCCTTTTTTTCCTGATCACTATCAGATCCAGTACTGAATTAACTCTCATTACTTCTTTCAATTGTTTTAAGTACTATACAAAAATATCCTCCTGTAACCAATTTCG